ATTATGGAAAAAGTAGTGTTTTGGATTGTCCACAGTATTAGGCCCTTTAATAAAAAATGCAGCTTCCAGCGACGTTAAAGTGGATGCGAAAACCGAAGAAGCATAGAATCTACTGCAATATTTGTAATCAACTGGGAGTGTTGCGTTCTTCTTCATATTCGTGAGACTGCAATGACTCAGGTGAATTGCATTGTTTCCTATTATGCATTATCATATCGACATATATGTAGATGATGTGAAGAGAGAATGACCTCCATCGATACTTCACCCAGTATGAGATTAACAGCTTTCTCTATTAATCATGGCCAAGAACGATAAAAAAAAGGTACATCAATTGCATGTGCGTTTATTGAAAAAACTGACAGTGGTGGGCGGCGTCGAGGGGACTTCAACAAAAGCTATAAACTTTTGGAAATAGTTCACAACGTGCATCCATTATCAATTTTTCCTTGACCTGAAACTTTATTGGAGCCACGGACATAAACACGCAACCTTGTCAAATATTGTATGTCTCTCGACGTGGTCCAAGTGACCACCACGTGGCTTCTTCTTTGGAAGGATGTTTCGGATTGCTTCGTCGATGCCTTCGTAGCCTTTGTCCTGGAGCACGGCCCAGCTTGTTGCATGTAGGCGGCGCCCCTCAGCAGCGTCAACAAGAATATCTTCGTCAGAACTCTTCGATAATGCTGATCGATGGGTAGCAATGCGATCCAAGAACATGGTAAGGTCGGACACTGAACCAGGTCGATGATCTGAGACGTCCACGTAGACCCCAGATGCTTCAATCTTGTACCCGTAAAGCTTGTGCTTGCCGGAAAAGTAGCGCTTGGACTCGACGAAAGACCCCGATGGTCGGTTGGCGGGTTGAAACTTTACGTCGGTTGCATTAAGGCCTCGGGAAAGTTGGTAAACTGAAGGTTGCTTGAACGCTGGGTAGACATAGTGGCACATCTGACGAAGTGCTCATACAGGACGGGAGTGACAAGTGCCATGATGCGGCCAATGAGCTTTTCGAAAGTTGGCGCCTTGATGTCGAAGTCCAAAGCATGTTTGTCCCACGTGTCATAATGTTTCATAACACATAGGAGCATGAAGAATGCGTCCTTGGCGGTAGTTTGGCTTCGACGTCCGCGGCCCTCGTTCCATGAACTCATGGCATGCATTTTGACAACAGACCAGAGAGTGTTGAACTCAGTGGCTGAAAACCCAGTCATCGTAAGCATCGCCTCGGTTCGACTCAGGACGTTACGTTGCATGGTGCAAATGACTCAATAGCTTTGTGGATTTGAAGGGTGTTGTGTCATGGGCCGACTGTGTCTTGAGCCGACCATGCCAAAGACCGCCAACTATAATTTGTAATGGTGATAACGGCAGTGTCTTGTATCTTGAATGTCAAGACCGAAAAATATCAGTTTCAATCTCATATTCAAATGATACCTATTTCCCAGTAACAGATTGAGGTCTAAAATTTGTGATACAATACATCAAATAAACGTCGCTATATGTACTTTTTACACCGCAATAGCGCATTTCCTTGATTGCGACGATGTCCTTCGTTTTATTTCGACATCGTGGAATTTGATATTTTCACGACGTTCATAGAGATATCGATAAAATGATATTTCTTGGAACAAAATATATATGACAAGCCATTTACGAGAAAACTAACAGTGTAAGTTTATTCTATGAAAATTCGATATCTTCAAAATTTGTTCTGTTTGATACCAAATCTAACAAACCTAAGTTTTTGATATGGACACTTGCATTTCTGCACTGACAAACGTAAATCTTGTGTCGCTTCTGAGATACAGTACTATTTACCTTCGCTGATGAATGGAATACTCGTTTGTGATTATTCCGCCTATTGATAAACAGAGGAAGTAACAGTGCTACGGTGCTGTTATCCGGACACATGTCAAAGATCTTCATTGACATTAGAGAGGTTTTGCAACAGTCCATTCC